TTCCTTTTATGATACAATTAAGCTATGGTTCTACTTTGTTTTGTGGTTTTAGGGGCACTTATCTCACTTAGAAGAGCCATGGGGTGGTGGTAGAGTGGCGGAACAGCTGCCCATCTATGTATAATTTGTCGACCACAAGAGAGGTCCTATTTCCCTTCTGCCTGTGCTCTTTTAAAATGGGATATAACACTTTACGCCTCTCGTTGATTTCCCTGGGGAACTGATCGTTCATACCGAACGAAGTGCCTTTTAGCTCTCGTCCTTTACTCTTAGCGAGCATTTTCTGCTGATAATGTTCGAATTTGGCGATGATCGGACGAGGACACTGACCTCCTCAGGGTCCAAGCCTGTGGACAAAGTGAAAGGTGATGTTGTTGACAGTCTCCATAGGAATCTTGAGGGCCGTCACCATGAACTTTTTTACCTGGACTTCTGGGTTGTCTGGTGTGCTCTCCGGGATGCCAGAAATGATTAAATTGTCTCTCATGCTTCTGGACTGCACGTCAAGGACAGTTTCCTTCAGGAGTTTATTCTGAATTTTTGCCTTGATATCATACTGTTAGCATAGCATTGTAATGCTTCCCAGTTAGAACAGACTTCACGTTAATGCGCCATGAAATAGCGTTTGGTATTGTGGCTCAACTGAGTTAATATGCTTAAAGGAGATGGACGCTGTGGAGAGAGAGAGGTCGGAGTGGTTTTCCCGCTCTTCCCGGTGGACGGACCCTGCTGTTTTCTTCCTGTGATTCTATGAGGCCGTTTACTAACTGCTTAACTGTGAATGCCATTGCCCCGGTGACTGCTGTCACTCTATTTCCCCTGCTATCCCCTACTAACAACTCGTTTTGGATTCGTGAGTACCAGTGTTGTGTGTAACGCGTTACTTTGTAGTAATGCGTTACAGTAACGTAACTACTTTTATTGGGTAAAAAGTAGTGTAACGCGTTACTACTGAAAATATGGTAACGGAATGTAGTTGCTTTGTCAGTTGGGCACAACGTTACTTTTCCCGGGGACCCTCACAACTGGGAAGCACTGGGGAGTACGAGTTTCCTAGGTGCACTGGAACACACCATCATTCCACACTGACGCTGGTAGCAGTAGCATGCAGAGAGTAGTTGGTCATGGCAAGCGCGGCGGAGCAACCACAACAACCAACGGTAACTTTTGAGGGATGGAGGTATTCCCATTATTTCAAACTGACTGAAAATAAGGGGAAGAATGTGAGTGTGAGGTGTACACTGTGCCCTGGCCATAAACTTTTGTCCACTGCCGTAAACTCAACAGCCAACCTCACTAAGCATTTAAAAGCAAAACATGCTAACGTGAGGTTTGTAGCTCAAGATCCCTGGGGAAATGATGACACGTCGAGTCCAAACCCACATAAGCAACAAAAATTTCATTTTCACCAGGTATCTAAACAAGAGTTGGACAAACTGGTCGCTTCGTTCATTGTCGAAGAAATGCTGCCCATCAATACGGTCGAATCTCCCACTTTCAGACAGATACTTAGCAAGATACCGGTAACAGGAGACAAGCGCCCACCATGGCCAGATTGTAGAACTTTCACGGGCTATCTGGATGAATGTTATCAGAAAATGGAGAGGGAATTAAAGAAAACGTTCGAGGGTTTGCAGTATGTGTCAACCACTGCGGATATATGGAGTAGCCATAACAGAAGCTTTTTGGGAATAACTGTGCACTGGATCAATCCACACAACTTGAAATGTGAGAAGGCTGCCATCGCATGCAAACGAATAAAGGGCAGGCATACATATGATGTTGTTGGCTTTGAAATGGAACATATTCACTCAGTGTTTGGCCTTTCAGGCAGGATCACCGCCACTGTTACAGACAACGGGTCTAATTTTGTTAAAGCTTTTAAGACGTATGTACCCTCTCCCTCTGAGCCTGACGAGGAGGAACACGCAGCCACGCCCCCTGAACGTGACGAGGAGGAGAATGAAGAGCAAGGTGTAGTTTTCACAGATGTGGGAGAGTTGCTCGGGACCACAGAAGGACAGTTTTCTCTCCCCCCACATTTCAGGTGTGCTTCGCATACACTCAATTTGATCTCATGCAATGACATTGACAAATGGCTGTCATCCAGTGACTCAAAATGTGTGTATAGGAGTGCAACGGCAAAGTGTGCTGCTCTTTGGACAAAGGCAAGCCGTTCCACCTTGGTCTCTGAGATTGTTGATGAAGTCTGTGGGAAAAAAATGATTGTGCCAACATCAACAAGGTGGAATTCCTTCCATGATGCCTTGTCTCGTATCAGTGACATCCTGGCCCAAGATTTGAATGCACTTTGTTCTAGACTGGACATCTGAGCCCTGACAGAGTGTGAACATCTATTCCCAAAGGAATACTGCAGTGTTTTGAAACCCCTGACAATAGCACTGGATATATTGCAAGGAGACAGCTACTATGGTGCTCTTCTACCAACCCTGGAGACCCTGATGTCCAGGACACTGGCACTCCAAAATGGACTGTCGAGGATGACAGCTGACCTACCTGGTGTGATTGTACAGGTAAGACAGTTTATATAATACATAAATGTGTAGGCTATGGCATAAATATAAATGTGTATAGGCATATTTCTTTTTATTCTTTATTCTCTATGTTGTTATTGTCACTGTGTGTAATGCTGCTGCTGCACTGTAATTTCCCAGCTTGGGGTCTGTCTGTCTGTCTGTCTGTCTGTCTGTCCATGTATATTGGACATTTCTTCATAAATATTCTAAATTTTGATAAATGCATTACTTGTATTTTTATTAGTTGCTGATTTTAATGTGTTATTGCTCTTAGTGTTTTGTTATTTTGTTTCTGGTTTCTGTAGGACTTTGATATTATTTTAGGAAAATTGCTTTACAAATAAAATGTATTATTATTATTATGCCTCCATTGATAGATTGAGTCGTGTGTCTGAAAATTATGTCTTCTATATCATCTTGTCCTAGGCTATCAAGACGCGATTCGCACCGGTGTTGGAGAGCAGGGAAGCTTTATTGGCTGCCTTGACGTTGCCAAAATTCAAAGCTCGATGGATAGGGGGAGCGGAACGGAAAGAAGAGGCGCATGTGCTGCTCATTGCTGAGTGTCGCACTCACACTCTCCCCCACGCTGAGAAGAAAAACCAAGAGCACAGCAGCGTCAATGAGAAGGACTTTTTCTCTTTTGATGAGGAGGAGGAAGACGCAATGTTCTTCAGCGCAGACTCGGAGGTACTTGAATACAAGAGATCAGGCTCAGAGTTAGAAGTCCTCAACAGTTTCCCCCGAGTGAAAGCTGTGTTCCTGAAATACAACACTGCCACACCATCCAGTGCACCGGTGGAAAGGCTGTTCAGCCTGGGAGGTCTTGTGCTTACCCCCAGAAGAAACAGACTTTCAGATAAACATTTTGAAAGACTGCTCCTGATGAGGTACAATCACACATTTTGTGCTGAATAGGTTACCTGCCACCGCCGCCACCACCCATGCCACACCACCCCACGTAGCTCAAGCCTATGCCTAATATCCTCTTTTCTATCTGCCATCATACTGTGAAGAAGGGCCAGCATATTCAGTGAACATAGCCTGTTAATTCTGAGGCTAGTCATGCTTTAAGTTGTGCTTGATTTTATTTTGGCTAAAATGTCTTTGCCTCCAAGCTGTATCATGCCATTTTATTTTATTTATACAAGCCATCAACATCAAGCCATTTTGAAGTTATTCTTTTTCTGTTAGATTTAGATGAGGCACGTTTTGTTTGGTTTCAAGTGTTCTGTTTATTGCTTTTTCAAAATAAAGAGCACAAAAGAAATACCTGTTATGTCCTCCATAGTAGAACTTTAAGTAGGCCTATACTGTACATATTTAGGAAATGAGATGGGGTTCTACCCAAAGTCAAGCACCATAAAAGTAATGTAAAAGTAACGAGTAACGTAAAAAGTTTTCTTTTCTTTTCATAGAGGGTAACTAAGTAAAGTAAGGGATTACTTTTTTTAAGAAGTAACGAGTAACAAGCAAACACTACTTTTTAAAAGTAACTTCCCCAACACTGGTAAGTACTAACGTAACTGAACTAACTGAACTTGTGTGCACGTGCTTTTTGTTTATGCTCATTTGGAGTGAAGCGGCCATAAAACTTTTGAGGCCTCACCGCACCCCAGCTTCAAATCAGGCCTGCAACGGGGTTAAATGTCCTACTTTCTGGTGTCTGGTTAAGGAATGAATGTGTGTGTGTGGGCTCACAGGTATAAATTGAGTAATTTTGATTATTTAAATGTGATGGAAACAGTGTTTTGGTAATATCAATAGTACTTAAAAGGTAACTTTTTGTTTAAAAGGTATTTTTGTTTAACTTAAAGGTATAAAAGGCATTTTGAAAGTAAAAGGAAAAGGTTTAAAAACTAAAGAGACCTGATATTTCATTTTGTAAACCTTTATTTATAACTTTTTGAGCATTTATATTTTATTTCATAAGAAATGGTCACCAAATTTTATTTTATTTTATTTTGTAGATTAATACCTGTAAAAGGATTATTGCATTTAAAGTACATGTTACGGCTGCAGCCGTATATTGTAACATTTATTGCATGTATATTGTTTTTTATGTGAGAGTAAGACCTCTTCTTTTTCTGAGGATCTGTGCCAGGTGCCGCTCCCGTCTCCTTTTCTCAGTGGTGGGTTCTGGCTGGTCGTGGCTGCTGCCGATTGGCTGTCGCGGGGGCTTGGCCTTTTTAAACCCCGGCAATCTGTCAAAATTCGAGGGTCGTTTTGACAGCAGTGTTCCTCCTCGTCCCGACGCCAAACCTGCCTGTGCCTTCGTAAACTGATTATTGTGTTTTCTGACTGGAGAGCGGTGAGTTTTAGCTGAACGGTTAGATTGTTGTTTGTGTCCTGCCGCTACGAGCGGTGAGCCGTTTGTCTGCAGCCGACCCGTTGCAGCGCTAAACAGCATTTTTCTTTGTCAATTGCACGTCACTTGTAAATATTGGTATATAGCACTAAGCAGTAGGGGTGAGCTGCCATTTATGTTGAACTGTTTTCTCCTGTTTTTGTTTAGTTTAGGAAGTTAGGTTTAGTGATTGTATTTTTGTTTCTTTTCTTTCACATAGGGTTTAGTTAGTACTTTGGGAAAGATAGTTTGTTTTATTTGTTGTTTTGGCCTGGGCTCACCCTGAAGAAAAGCTTCCTTATTTATAAAA